TCACACTTAGTGAGTCACTTCTGCTTGTAGGAGTTAGTTTTATACTCAGGTGTGTCAGGGGAGAAATAGGTAAGTATCTTTCACCTATATGCGGAAGACAACCAAATCTCTCTCCTGTCAGGCATTTTTCCTGGGCTCTAAGTCCTTATTTCCATCTGCCTACTGCTGAACAAGTTCTTCCTGGATATCCTACAAGAATCCCAATTCAATTTCTCTAAAACCAAAACAGCCCCCTCAAGGCAAGTGCCTTTCTATATTCCCTATTACCAGCAGCCTGATTGTCTAAACTGAAATACAAGCATCGTCTTAAAACTTCTCCCTTTCCTTCAATCCCACTATTCACACCCTCTCAACTCTTCCCTGATCCAACTATCACCTTGATTAGTTAGGTTCTAACCTTCTATTGTCTGAGCTACTGAAATAACGTCCTAACTGTTCTTCCTACCACTGGCTCTGCCCTCAATAACCTGTGCTCCATGCTAGAAGAATTGCTCTAAAACAGAGGGTTGCATCATCCCCCTTTTCAAAACTTTGAATGGCTCCTGCTACTCACAGGACAAAAATTTTAGCAGGGGCTGCATGGCTAGTAAGAAAGGCCCAGAGGAAAGAAATGCCCAACACCGTGACTCAAATCAAAAGAATTCCTGAAATGGGCAGTGTACATCAGAGCTCTTTGTGAGGCAACCAAAAGGACCTTTGAAACAAAAAGCAGTCTACAATAGGTCAAAAAGGAACACAACCAGGCTCACCCAGCTAGGGCCAGGAGGCTAAACTAAAGGGCTGCAGTAAGAAAGCCACCGGGCAACTAGCCACCTTCTAAGCAAGCCAAGAGAAACTCAGCCAAAAGGTTAGGGGCTTTGAGCAAGGACCTAACTAAGCACATATGCTGCACATATACCCCCACACCCTGACCGCCCATCACCAACTCCACCAGTCCCAGCAGGGCGCAAACACCCTGGAGGCCCAAACAACAGTACTTGGCCAAGTAATTCCTTCAAAGGGCCTATTGGAATTCAGACCAAAGTGGCCTAACCAGACATCACATCTACTCAAAGAATAAATCAGCCTATCAACTGTCTAGGAAAGGTCAAGGCCTCTGGTGAGTCAAATGGACAGTGAAATCCCCACTCCCAGGGGAGTTGTGCAATCTTCCCCATGACATTACCCCACTGATTAGAGGCACGTAAATTGCCTCAAAGCTGTAGACAGCTTTGAGAAAGCTGTATGAGCCAAGACGTTTCTCTCTGCCAGAAATTATAGGGGCCTCAAGCACCAGAACACTAAGCTGGGCAGGGGAGCCCCGAGACTTGCCCCAGTCTGCCCCATCTACGACCCCACACCTTAAGTAGTAGCCAGATGGAAATACTCCTATTTTTTGGAACCTATCATTGCTTATGCTGTTTCCTCCAGCTAGAATCTCTGCTCAGTCCAGATAAATCCTATCCATCCTCAATGGCCCACTCCAACCATCACCTCCTCTGGAAATCCTTAACCAGCCCTCACTCCCTACTGCATGCATTGCAAAGACTTGTTATGGCTTTCATGTGCCCATCCCACTGTAGGGTGAAGAAAGGAACTGTCTTAGTCATCTCTCCATCTTCCATGCCTCCAGCAATGTCTAGCCTATCTGAGGTGCTCTATGCATGTTTGCTGAATGAATCTGCAAATCACTCATCTACTCCTTTGATACCATAGCAGGAAAATGACTATGTTGTGTTGGAAGTTATACTAGAAACTGTTTCACACTAAATGCAATTCCATTCTCAATCCAGCCAGGTCAAGACCTTGTGGGGAAACTGCATTTGTCTTTTTGTAATCAAGCACAAAGGTAGAAACAGAATGAGAAACGATTCATGGCTCCATCCTGGCTCCATGGGTGGGCTAGGACAATTAGTCCATGGACTTCAGGGGAGAGTGGGGACAGGGGGATGTCTGTAGACCCATTTCCCTCTACAGTGCTGAAGCTCATAATATGAAGACTATCCTGTGCTTCCTATTTGAATTAGAATTTCAAGGGAAATGTTTCAAACTATTCTTAAAATAATGAGCTTTGAGTATGATGGAACTCATTGCAGATTAAGGCCCAAATAGACAAAAAATTGCTATTAACAGGAGAAAACATTAGCAACTAAACAGATTACACTTATGCTGTCTGCAATTATTTGGTACTATTTGCGCAGAAAAAGAGAGGGAGGGAAGAAAGAACACAGGTGACGAAGACTATGGAAGAGTAACTAAAATGATAGCAGGACTGCCTGAGGAAGGCACATGACAAAAATAGGTCTCTGCATGGAAAAGGTAGGAAAGTATAATTGATGTCTACTAAACAGGCTGATGTGGACAGGATTAATATAAACTTTAACAGAAAAGATTTGAAGCATTTATTTAAATAAAAAGTGCTCTCTTATACAACATATATTTTAGTCATAAGAAAACTCTGCCCCAAAATGTAATTCAGGCTAAAATATGAATTATTTCAAAAAGGTTCCATGTGCCTATAATGTAAACTAATTATAAGACCCTAATTAGTTTGGGATACTTCTCATTAATAAGACAGCTATGATGGAATGCAAAGTATGCATAAAGCATTTCTGCAGCGTACCAAAGTACCATAGTGGTTTCGAAAATCAAATTATGCAACTGATCACTGCACTGTGAGCTGAAATAGCCACATTTTTTCATGGAACATCATTTTTACTTGAAAGAACAACAAACAACAGTTATTTAGACTTCCATATTTGACCTGCATTTTCCCAAAAATGAACAGTGGGCCCGTCACTTCAAGACAAAGTGACAGTATTTGTTGCCAGTGATAAAATCCGAGCTTTCAAGCAAAATGTGAATTTTGGAAAATTACTTCCCAATACGTAAAAGATAAATAAGGAGGCTTTTTTTTTTTTCTGCTGATACTGGGTTTGGGAAACAGGTTCCATTTAATAAACTGAGAGCACTTTGTAAGTTTTGGTTTTCATTCTTACTGGCTTTAATAATTTTCAAAGTTGTAAATTATAAGACCCATCAAAACAGGAGTTTAAACCGTATCAACCTAAGAAAACTGCCAAAATTTTTATGACATATCAGTTATTGTTCTATGGTAAACATTAGCATACAAATAAGGAAAAAATATATTAGTACTTCCTATCAATTGAATTTTGAGAATCTATAGATAGTGTATTAATGCACTAACAAAAATTGGATGGCTATCAAGTAACAGCTGGAATTCTGACTTCCTTTTGTTAGCTTTCTGAGTAACACACCTTGATGATGTTACTCAAAATACCAAGAAAATAATGAAATTATCTAAGTGTAAAAAACCTTTTTCTTCAAAATCTCTCAGTTAAATGCCTAACAAAATAACATCCCCCAAAGATGTTCAACCTTTAAAAAGCTACATGAGAAAATAAAAATTGCTGTAGAATGAGGAGTTAATTTGTAAGACTTCCAAAATGGCAAAGGATTTCAGGAAAAGCCTAGTGAATATATTGGTTAACTGCTCTCATATCCATGGGAACTACCACTGTCATGTCTACTATAAGTTTCAAGGAGTGTTTTAGCTAGCCTTTTGTAAAAAAGCCCATTAAAGGGAAATAATATGTTAGAATATTCCACACGTTCTCCAACTTTAACCTCAAACTTCTATTTTGGGATACATCAAGGTTTCAACAATTTGTCTTCTCAAATATTATCTGAGCTTATACATCTTATTTGAATCTGAAAGTTTAATCAAGAATAAGTCACATTGTACACCTGAAACTAATATAATAGTGTATGTTAACTATACTTTAATTTTAAAAAATAAGATATAAAAACTTCAGTGCATATTGTTTTTTACTTTGAGAAGTACTGATATAATTTAAAATGTCAACTCTCTTGTTCAAGAGACAATAAAGTATTTTATTAAAAAAAAGTCACATAGTAATTTTAGGAAATTATAGGGTCTCAATGAGATTTACTTCTTTCTTCCCTGCCTGCACTTTATTAAAATAATCTATTGCTACCACCCAAGACAATGCCCTGATAATACTTCCATCTCAAAATTCTGCCTGTGTTTTCACACTGTAAGAGGCCATTTCTTTTGCAGCTAATTCAAGGGGAGAAACTATACTGGCTTAAAAGACTACTAGAGTCTAAAAAGAAAGGATAGGAGATGCACAATGTTACTAAGTAATTTAACATTAAATACATAATAACCAGAAAAAAAACTCAGAAGGGTTTAGGAAATACAATGTGTATAAGAAGTTTCTTTTTCATTCATTAGAATGCCACATTGGCAACTTTTCAACCAAGGAGGGCTGAGAAATTAGGGTATTTAATAAAGAAGCCATATCAAGCAGATTATATAAATCTAATTTAGACCCAAAAAAAATGATAAATAGGTTAAAATTTTAAACTATGTCACATAATTGTTAATCATTATTTTATATCAGAAGTCATCCTAACAGGTAGCAGAGGCTAACTACCCTTGAAAAGCAGACTATATAATGGAGCACTGTTTTTACAAGACAACTCATCACCTAAAAATTCTTTATGCATGGCACAAATGTTCATTGACCCCATTCTAAAAAAGTGACCTAGAACACTAGAATACGTACATTCTTGAACGCGATCACATAGCCTACCCTTGGTTTCTCCATCGTATTTTTACAACCAGTTATTATGTCTGAGGATGGTTGACTAAAACTACGATTAAGCACTGAGTTTAAGCTTATAACTTGGTATTAGATGGATAAAGCTGTCATGAAGACTCAAGAAAGCGAGCGGGGCATCCGAGGCCATCGCCTCTCATTTTGCAGTCCATTTAATGCAGTCTTTAAGTTATTTAAACGTGCATTAACAAACTCACACGCCAAAGCCATGCCCCGAAGCAGTTCGACACGTCTGAAAAAAAATTTCAAGTAAAATTTCTGCCAGGCCTGTTTCTACAGCTTCCAAATCCCGTAAGCAACATCCTGCGTTCCCTCCAGTGTGACTGGGAAGTGAGGGTGTGTCTCGGTGCTTACCGATGCCCGGAGCCACATAGATGAAGTAGAGACAAGATGAGGAGAGGGAGAAGAAGAAGATGAAGGCGAGGAGGGAGCGATTGGAGACCCGTATCATCCGCCTGAGCACAGACATCTTCCTCTTCCCGGCCAGCAGCTTGGGCTGCGCTCTCTGGCCGGACTTGTGGGCAACCGTCCAGACCCTAAACTTCCATGAATGTGCTACGAACCCCGAGACTGCAAAGGGGTCCGCACGGGGAGGCTCCTGGGGAGAGGGCCCCGGCAGGAAGGAGGAGAGGGGAGGGAGCGAACGGAATGAATGGGAGGCCGGAGAGCCGGGGGAGGGGAGCGCGGGCGGACGACGAGGGGGAAGGGGCGGAGAGGGGCGCGGGGACGCGGGGCGGGGGCCCGAGAGCCGAAGGACCTGTGGAGGCCGAGGACGCGCGGTTTATCCGCCGGGCAGCGTCGGGAGGCCCTAGGGACTGCAGGTCGGCAGAGGCGCAGGCTGCGCGCCGCGGCGCCCCTGCGGAGACGGGCCGCCAACTGCAGCGCGCCGGGCGCTCCCGCGGGTCCGGGGCGCGGAGCCCCCCGCTCAGGGTCTGGGT